AAGAGTGATGTGACATACTGCTTGAAGTGATCGGTTTCAGCCTTGAGGAACTTTTCAAAAAGACCGAAACAAGCACTTTTGCTTCTACTGAGTCACACACACACACACACACACAGGGAGAGCGAGAGTGAGAGAAACAGCGTGCAGGGAAATATATGCTAATGTAATGGAGCACAGTCATTTGAAAGGAAATGGGCCTGAATGAGCACCCCGAGGGAACCACAGCACAAAGTTCAACCCTGAAAAATTTATTTCATTTCATTTAAATAGTCCGCTCTTATGAATACATCGGGGCTTTGGGGCGGCACTGCTGCTTCGGGGAGAGCTGAGAGCCGCAGGAGGACTGAGGTGGGAGTTTATTTTTGGGGAAAAATATCAAAACAAGATGTGGAGTCTGCAAAAAGTACTAATAAATGATTTTATAAGCAAAGGAATACTTGCTCTGATGTCTCATTTGTAGGTGTTTTACAGGTCTAAGTTCTAGAAAATATGCTTTGATGTGGATTTGGGTGGATTTTGAAAGGGCTGAAATGTCTAAATCTAGGTAAATTATATGATAAAGTTTAACTAGATTATGGTAGTACCATGGTACATGGTGAAATATACCAATTTACTGAATGCTTACCATATTTATATGATATAGTTACTCTACCAAAATACTTCAAAGAATAGATTTAACCATGTTCAAAAAAACAAAAAACAACAACAACAACTGAATACCATGGTGCATGTCCAGAAAAAACAAACAAACAAAAAATATATATAACACCAATGGATCCTCTGCATTGAATGGGTGCCGTCAGAATGAGAGTCCAAACAGCTGATAAAAACATCACAATAATCTACATGACTCCATTAATTCATGTCTTGTGAAGTGAAAACCTGTTTGTTTATAAGAAACAAATCCATCATTAAAGCATTTTAACTTTTAAACTGTCACTTCTGACCGAAAGTCCATAGTCCATAATAACATTTACTTCAGCAGTAAAGTCCATTCCCTGTTGTCCTCTCACATCAAAACTCACTAACATATTTGTTTAGAATGATTTTGGCTTGTAAACAGTGCTTGAATTGTGCATATTTCTCTCCTGATACAGACAAGACCACTTTTTCACGTGAGAAAGCAATATTATATAGATAGAGGACTCATATTTTAGCTGGAAGCAACAATTTGGATTTGTTTCTTACAAACACATAGCTTTTCACTTCACAAAATGTTAATTGATGGACTGGAGTCGTGTGGATTACTTGTGGATTATTGTGATGTTTTTATCAGCTGTTTGGACTCTCATTCTGACGGCACCCATTCACTGCAGCGGATTTCTGTTCCAATTAAAAAACAAACTCATCTACATCTTGGATGGCCTGAGGGCGAGTACATTTTCAGCAAATTTTCATTTTGGGGTACGTTTAGTATGTTGTATGCCCTTAAAAGGATAGTTCATCCAAAAAAAGAAAATCCTGTCATCAGTTCAAAAAACATCATATCCCACTTTTTTATTGCATCAACAAAATTATCTGATGATGGCAGAATTTTCATTTTTGTTTAAGAAAATCAAAAACAAAAATAAAAATGCTGTTTTATTGTTTGTAGACTACAAGAAAATTAATTCTCTATGTTTTTTAGTGGACATTTACATGAATTGTGCTGCATCAGTTAATTTTAGAAATATCAAAATTTTAGTTTGATTCTAATTTGGCTTTGGTTGCCCTTTAATGTGACCCAAAACTATTTTGCTTACAACATGAGCTACTAATATTGGGAGGGCCACAGTGGAGTCACGTCATATGTGTGTATGTTCCTGAAGGAGAATGATTGAAGCACTTAAGAACCCGGGATGTGAGCCAGGATAGCATTCCCAGTTTCCTGTCTGGATCCCGGTCCTCTGGGAGCAGATCAGGTGAATATTCCGGGATGAGAAAAGCACTCGGAGGGCAAACACTCAAGATTTAATTAGGGGGCTGAAAGAGGATTAGACTAGGTGTGTGTGTGTGTGTGTGTGAGAGAGAGAGAGAGCGAGAGAGAGAAGGAAGGGAAGTCCCCTCCACCTTCCTCCGTCTTGTTTTGTTGACTCTACGGATCCAACGGTGCCACATATGTCCAGCATATGGTACAAGAACATGCAAACCTAAACTCAAGTGAAAATACACACTCAAACACAGGCTTACCTGGGCACGGAGGCATATAGTCGATCGGTGTCGTTGTATCTCGGAGCTATTCGTGGATCAGGCCCTCTGATCTGTGAAGCACAGAGAAATCGAATAAGATTATGCCAGAATCTTATAATGTGACATTTAGATGTGGGTTTAAAGGTGAAGAGTGCAATTTCTGTACACTAGCAACACCACATAGAATTACAAAGTAGTGTGCTTACCAAAAAAGCATTGATAACAATGAAAAATATGTGCATTATAAAAACAACACAACACATGAAAACCAAGTTTAAAATTTCCCCCCCACTATTTTTAATGTCAAAATGTGAAAAGACACATACAGGACATGTGCACATTGAATATTAAGGTTAAAAAAAGAGGTGATTTACACTACCTTTCAAAAGTTTGGGGTCAGTCATTTTTTATTGATTTTGAAAGAAGTCTCTTCATCAAAAATGAAATAAAATAGTAATACTATAAATATTATTACAATTTTAAATCATTCTAATATGCTGATTTGCTGTTCAAGAAATATTCATTATTATTAATGTTGAAAACAGTTGTGCTGCTTAATATTTCTGTTAAAACTGATAATTGTTTTCAGGATTCTTTCATGAATATAGCTCATGAAAAGTTCTAAATAAACAGCATTTATTTGAAATAGAAATCCTTTGTAACACCGTAAATATTTTTACGGTCACTTTTGATCAATTTAATGTGTCCTTGCTGAATAAAAGTATTAATTAAAAAATAAATAAATACATTTTTGAACAGTAGCATACATGAAGAAAGCTGTTTACATCGGTTTAAAAATCAGAGTGTGCCAAAAGGGTTTTACTTAATATGCTTATGAATTTTAACCAATACAAGAATCACACAGTTCAAGATGTTTCATCATCATGGACACCCGATGAACTTGGCAAGATATTAAACCAGTGTGACCAACTGTCACAGTATCTATAACTAGTTGCAGTGTTTCATACGAGCGCAAACTAGAGTCTGGGTATTTTTGTTACTTAAAACATCAAAAGGCTATAAGCTTGAGAGTTGTAGTGTGCATTGAAGCTGGAATACATAATGAAGATAGATAAATTCATATCATTTCTATATGACGACTATAAATCAGGGAGAGGAAGAGGGAGAGGAAAAGAGTAAACAAGAGAGAGAAATGATGCAGCTCGACTGATTTAGTGGAGAAAAGAGGTCAGTGTCTTCAGAGAAAGTCTTGACCATGTAATATGACAAGTAATATGACCCCTCCCCCCCAAAAAAACAACAACTTTATTTAATATATGCAGGATTCATTAATTATATATCTACCCTGTTTAATTCTATAATTACCATCAGTATGAGCTGTTAACCTCGATTTAGCATGACCGTCAAAGTGCAGAGAAGAACAAAACATGAACAGGCAACGACAAACATGTTTCTTTATTTTTAATGCATTTTTTTGTCTCTGCAAACATGGAGGAAAATCGGATGCATTATTTTCCCATTACATCTCCTATGGTTCTGTTATGATTCCAATGAATAATTAAAGCTTATTTCTCTTTATGTGACTATTCCAAGATTTTGCAAGCTTGTATAAGAGAAATAACTTGCGTTAGACATACATGGCAGGGTTTAACAGTAGTCTCATATGACCGCAGTGGGATTTGTGGGAGTGCTGCGTGTGGCAGCTCCTGACAGATGAAGGTTAGAGGCATTATGTAAAGAAGGGCCGCTCATTTCTGGGGACTATGTGAGGAAAATGGTGGCATTTGTCTCAATGAGGAGTTTATAAGTGCACGTCCTCCCGTGTGTAATGGCAGCCCTGAGCACTACCCTGCATGTTAAGTGTGATCTTTAAACACAAAGGTGTCTCGCAGGGATCGAATGTCACCGAGAGTAAGAGAGAGAGATGACGAGGCGCACGCAGCGTAAAGGTCACATTTAGAGAAGCGAGAGATGATTGTGGGAATGATAGACCACTGCGCATGCCAAATGATCAGAACGATAAACAATTCCTCACTTTCCTCTGTTCCTTTCATTCTTTATTCTGTCTAGTCTGGCCATACAGGTCATCAGTCACATCCATTGTCACAGATGGAAGTATTCATGTCGTCATGAACGTTTCTGTCTTCACAGAACCCAGTACTAATATATATTATATATA